GCCCTTTTTCAGGTCATTCATGTCATGTGAGTACAAGTAATGTCATCAAAATTATTATTTGTAAATAATTAGTATGTACATAGTTATTTATCTACATAGCTTGATAACAAATATTTGTTTTAATTTTAGACGAGGCATTTATTATAAACTTACCAGGTAATCTAATTGTATATATTTTATACTCCCAATACTGACACTATCAGTTTCATATACAAGTATATAATATACGGTTTTTGTTTAAGTACCGTGTGATTTTTTTTGTGTGATTTAAATGGGGACATTCAATTTTTTCTAATATAAAATATATTACCATTTTTGTCATAAGAAAATATATTTTATAGTATTTTTTAAGTGTCGTATTTTACTTTAAGTGTTTTAACAAAAATATTCAATAAAGAGTTCTCAAGTAATCAAATTAAAAAAATAAAATAGACATAATCTATTATATTAAAATTCCCGTCATAAGAAAATGTATGTTATTTTGTTTGTATTTCAGAAAATATTGCCATAGCTGATCAGAAGGCAGTACAAGAAGCCATAACCCAAGTTACAAGTAAATAATATAAATACTAACACACATTAATGCGAATTATTTTCAAAAATCATAACTATTAAGTTTTATAATCATTTAAACTAAAATTCAAACTTTTTTGTGAGTTTTTTATTGTAAAATATTTAAAATTTTCATATGTTTTATACAGATATCCCTGTGCCTAATAACGACCCCAACGAAAGTAAGCACCCTTTTAATAATTAACGTAAATAGCCCCAAAGTCCTAGTGTATAAGCCAATTAACCGTTTTATTTTTTAATTTATTTATAACACTGTAACTTATTTTTTTCACAGATTATGAGAATGATCGTCACACATTGACTTGGCTTGGAGAAGAAAGACGAATAATAATGGGATTTGTTACACTTACATTACTTGAAGATGCAATAGGTAAATATTAATATTTCGTGTAGATTTGTACCAGTTTTACTTTTAATTACTACTCTATTTGATATACTATTCAAATAATATATTAATAACTTATGCACTTCATCTTAACAAGTAATTCTTCTATCCACTTTTATTCTTGTATAACCGATGCTACGCTAGATATTTGGCCTATGTTTAAGAAAGTATTACTGTCGTTTGCTTTCTAGTAGACCAGCATAACCCCTGTCTATCCAAATATTCTAAATAATTACCAAAGGCGGATCTTTTATTGTTGACGTCATTTTCGATTGCAACATAAACATATCAATAGTATATTATATTATTGATTATTAAATTATTATATCAATAATAATATAACAATACAAGTAGGCATAGACCTCACAGAACATATAGGAATGAGTTATTTAGACTTTTATTTCAACATACAACTATTGGTAGCATTACGATTAACCTTGTTTGTTTTATTAATTTATTGTCATTTTAAACTTTTTTGATCCGTCACTTTTGCAATGTCCTTTTATCAATAATTTTGCAAGATATATACAATTTTTAAGATTAGAATAAGATAAATTTACATAGTCATAAATAAAATATAATCCTAATCTGCTAGTTGTATAAAATACAAAAGTTCCTCCATCGGTAGGCTTAATTTTTCTGTCAATCTACTCTTTGTAAACATCTATTATGATTATTGTACAATTGTTCTACATTGTAACAAACTTCATAAATACAAATTCAATAAAAAAAAACTAAGTCCATAAAAACAAATAAATTAAAAAAGATCTGAAGCAAACGGCGATTATTAAGTTTAAGTATGTTTTAATAAATTTAATTTCTAAATAGGTTACATAAAATAGCATTTTTTTTATGTGTTTTGTAATTCTGTTTCTTTGAATTTTCTTATACACGTGTAGCATTATGATTAACATTGTTTGTTTTATTCATTTATTGCCATTTTAAACTTTTTTGATCCGTCACTTTTGCAATGTCCTTTTATCAATAATTTTGCAAGGTATATACAATATTTAAGATTAGAACAAGAACTGTACACATAGAATTAAATAAAATGTTATAATCCTAATCTGCTAGTTTTAAAAACAATTTTTTAGATAAAGGAACACCAGGATTCACCAACCTTAAGGAAATATGTATTCTAATCGGTCTGCTCCGAAGTATACAATTCCCAGATTCGTATATAAAAACCGCTCGTGTTGATCAAGATGATAATGTTTGTATGTTAACTTCACAAAATGGCAGATTCCATTACAAACCTCATGGCGGCTATATTGCTGTGGTAGGGCCAATGGGTCGTCCTATTCATAATGAATATGAGGACGTTTTAGATGAGACAATGACATGGTTCTCGTAAAATAGACACTCAATCGTAGTTAGCTTTTAAAAAACTTAATCACATCTACTGTTTTTATTTTACTTCAATAATATTTATATGTCGCACTTGTATCTAAATTGGCCTTTTATTTAATGTATTATATAATGAAATATTTATTTTAGTGATATTTAATACTTTAAACCACTTGTGATTTTTATTAAATTCTATCCATTGCAGAGCATAAATCGAAATTGAAATAATAATACTATATGATAATTAACAATATGTGCTAACAATCACTATGGTGAAGACAGGCACATACGTTTCAATAGAACCAAAACCTTTAAATATGATTTATTTTTTAAATAATATATGTTTTCAACATTTTGAGGTTTTTCATCAATACTTTCTTCTGTTGTTTCAACATTTTTGTTTCTAAATTTTCATTAGAAAAATGATTTTTACACTTTCAATGGTTGAGTTGAACATTAAATTTTCATAAAAAATGACATCTCGGCTTTGTTAAATGGTAGGTACTTTTAACTGGTTCTATATTTTAACAGAGTTAAATATAACAACTATATAAAAAAAAAAAAAAAAACAGAATTAACTTTTCATAGGTTTTATTTAACAGAATTAACCCTTTCGTTACTGATAACCACGTACGAGGATTTAACTTTAAAAATCGAATAAAATATTACCAACGTACTATCATTATCATTACTATCAAAAATGTCTTTAAACACAAGTTATAGTATAGATTGATGATAAAAAAATCGACACAGCTATATGGATTATTTTACTCTGTGTTTTACTTAAGACTGCGATCTGGTGGTTGATTTTGAATTATATTTGTATGATTGATACACTGCGATGAAATAATAATTGATATTGTAAAACCTACGTTATTACTGTACGTTAACACTATAACAATATTAAAATCTATTAGATACGACCTTACTCGTCGGTTCTATGATTGTGTCAATTCGTCGTATCTGTACATACGACGGTTTTCTTTGGAAATAGATATTTCGGTGAATTGTAAAAATAACTATTATCTTATCTCTTTGGTACACTAGACATACGATCTTTTTCTTTGGGAAATACAGAAAAATATTCTTTATTAGATGATTGTGATATCTCAATACTGGCAAAAGTCGAGATACGACCATTTTCGTTGGGGCAGTCGATATGACCCCCACATATTTCCTTGGACGGGTGGCTTTGTACAAAATGTATAGCAAAAAACTAAATAGAAAATGGTTATTTTGTAATTAAAATGTGAAAATAGCGAAGAACAGGTAAATAATTTAAAAGACAACATTAAATTATTATAGTCTTTCAAGTAAAAATGTTATGGCAGTAGTGTCACTAAAAAATATTAAGACTTATTTTATTAGAAACTATAGTAAAACTGTGATAGTTGTGAGTATAAACCTTAGCAAGGACAAATTTTAATATTAAAATAAGTTAGAAAGACTATGAATGGATTATAATGAACTATAAAATATACCTATAAAAATCATAATAAGGTGGTAGTACAAACAATATTAATAATTAAACAGATATTTAAATGTTGCATGTTTTTCACAAATTGTTGAATGTTTTTTTATAAATATAATTGGATTGACTTATCAGGAGTAATAATAACAGTTATTATTAGTAGGTAGTTATTATTTGTATAAGTGGAATAGTATTAAAATAGTGTTGAATGTTATCACATTTAAAAATATATATAAGGAATTTACTATACGAGTTAGTAGTGTGATGAAAAACCTACATTATATTTAAAATTGTTGCTATTGTGTTTAAACATTTTTTTAATAAAATTTTATTGTGACGCTAGTGAAAAACTATAATGTTGGGTATTCCAAGTGCTTTTACATTTTTACGGGTACACATAGCCAATATGATATAGCTGTTGTTAAAGTGTAAAAACCATGTGTACAAATGACAATGTACTCGGGATTTTATTAGAAATCTAATAAATTTTCTTTTAAGAATTATTAAAAGTCATAACAGAAAAAAAAAAAAAGTTAAAATATCCGTGTATACAAAGTGAACAAATCCTAAAGCTGATTCAAGAATAATTTAAAAGCAGTAGGTAAAATTATTTAACATATATGTACAGGGTGTTTTTTTTTATAAAGGGCCACTCAATATCTCACTGGGTCTAACTAAAAATTTAATGGATTTTTTAATAGTGTTTTCATATAATGAGACTATAATTTTTCTTTAATATTTATGTTCATACCCAATCCCAAACAAATTATTTTCATTTCAACTTTTGACACTTAAATGGTAACGCATACATTTTACTATCTTTTAAAATGGGAAATAATATACAACAACTACTTAAACTGGTCCAAGCTGCTATCAAACAAATTTGATTAACTTTTCAGATAGAGAATAATGTAGGTAGAAATAATTTTGAGTGGTTAATAACCAGTTTTGGATGATTATTTTTAAGGTTGCTATCACAAAAACTAACTTAAAGGAGGAGTAAGAGCATAACGAATTGTGTACAATTAAGACAACACTATATAATTAAACTGTGATAAAAACATTTATTAAATTATTGATTACACACAGTGAGATGTAGAGTTGCTCACGACAAAAAAAAACACCCTGTCTACGTTATTTATTTTATAATAGAAAACCACTTGTGTCACTAAAGGTTTTTATAAATTATTATAGCACTGCGCATACTGTAAAATATATATTCATTTTACTGCTTTGGTTTTCATATCGACACACCGGCCTTACAAATAATCGCAACAAAATCACTCTAACACATAAAGTAAAACTAGCTGTTTGAATACATATCTTTCATACTAGTTATATTATTTGAATTGTTTCAACTATATTGTCCAGCATTATGAAGCTTCTCTGCATTTTAACAACGATTGCTTTTGTGAACGTTTCGCCGATAATGACAGGTAATTAATTAATTTTTACACGTACCTCTTTAGAGGAGTTAAAAATCTGAATACAAATTTTAATATTTAACTCTTCATCATAGGGGAATATGCAAATTTGGTTTACACTACAAGTCAGTGTAACCCAACTTTTATACGATATAAAATGTTTGTTAATTTTATTAATTTTATACACAAGTTTTAAATAATTTATTATAGACAAATACATCAGAGAGGCTTTTGATAATGGTGAGATACAATTTGATTTTTAGATGGCTTATAATTTAAAAACAAGCTATATATAAAGTTTGTTTTTATATCAGTTTAGAACATAAGTGAACGAGATTCATAGTACCAGTATACCAAACAATACTGTAGAAATACTAAATTGTAAAGAAAATCGAATATTTCATATAATTTAAAAAAATGTTCTATGGGTATTGGCCATTTTGGTTTATTTTAGACCAAAAATTCTGACAAAATTTCGACAAGATATGATGGTCCAAGTTCAGTTCTGCAAAAAGATTCCAGTTTTTGAGCTACATTACTATTATAGGTTGGAAGCCGATTTTCACTTAAATATTTCAGTTTTCTGTAATTAAATAAATTAAATTTATAAAATTTTAAATATTAAACTACATTAAGTCAAAAATCTCGTATGTCTCTACAATACTAAAATCGGGCCATCCTAAGTAGTCAACATTTTATCTAGTGTTGGGTCTAAATCGTAAAAAAGTAACTGACCCAATTCAATCTTCTTACATAACGGGTTGAATCGCGTTAAGTAAATAGTCACTTTAAAAATATGTATATTCTTGTTCTGAACATTTTTATGTATAATTTTATACATTATTAAGATTTCATTTGAAATTTTGTAAATAGCTCAAAACACTATTTGCTTATAGATCCTGCTGGATTGGAGACTGCAATTTCAAATATTATTAACGAAGATAAACCGTTTGGTAATCATTAATATATAACGAACAAAATTATTAAAATATAGATTGCTACACAAAAAAGTTGTAGTGATAAAAAAATTCATCATTTTTTATTATTCTTATTTCAGAGACACTTAATTTGATGTTGGTTATACCGGGTAATAACATTTCTTATCGCTTATTGGCAGTATTTCCACATATTGGCTTGATAATATTTCATAACTAATTTGGGCATAACATATTTTCGTTTTAATTACAGAAAAAGTAAACATTTTCAGAATTAATCATGGTAACTAATTGTTTAATATTACTTATTCGTTACGCAGATTCTTAATACTGATATTATTACCTGATGTTTTTGTTTTTCCACAAAAACACAAAAACATCCACAAAAATCCCCATTAGCTTTTAGATCTCTAACTCAAATTTAAGTAGTACCTCGTGTTTTTTCGTTTAACTAACATGAAGAACGTTAAAATTTCATAGAAAAAATTCTAGTTAAAAAAATGTTAACTCTCTTTCATTTTTTTGGCCACATCCAACGTCGTCTATAAAGAAACTGGTCTCGAAATGTAATCAAAAAATAAAAATTATAAATGTAATCTACCAAATAAATGGGTATAACATATTATAATAACATATTTTTGTTTTAATTTTAGATGAACGATTTATTATGAACTTACCAAGTAACCTATTTGTTTATATTATACGGTTTTTGTTTAAATAGCTTGTGATTTATTTTTGATTTAATTAACATGGGAACTTTTAATTTTTCTCAATATAACATATATAATCATTTTAGTCATAGTAAAATACATTAAATAGTATATTTTGTATTTCAGTGCATATTGCCATAGCTGATCAGGTGGCAGTGCGAGAAGCAATATCCCAAGTAACAGGTAAATATAAAGTTAATGGTAAATATTTATAAAGTTTAACATATTTTTTGGAACAATTTTCAAAGTTCATAATTACTCAGCTTTAACCAAATTCGATAAGTTTATTATGCTAATTTAAAGTCTTAGAGCTATGCTATGACTTGTATACAAGCCTAGAAGATCATTTGAAATATAATTCAGACTAATGTACACATTTTTACAAAGTGTGGTTTTTAGTGGAAAGTAAAATACATTTTCATATTTTTTATATAGATATCCCTGTACCTCAACTTGGCCCAAACGAAAGTAAGCAAACTTTTAATAAACGGCGTAAATAACCTTAATTTTTAGTTTATAATCCATTAAACTAGTTTTTTTTTATTTTGTTTTTTAATCACTGCAAATTGTCTTTATTTCCCACAGATTTTGAAAATGATTCATTGGTACAGCTTGGAGAAGCAAGAAGACGAATATTAGGAAAAGTTACAAAAAAATTACTTACTGATGCAATAGGTAAATATTAATATTTTGTGTAGATTGGTACTAGTTTACTTTTAATTATAAATATTCTATTTGGTGTACCATTCAAATAATACATTTATAATTTATACACAACTGAACAAGTAATTCTTTTATCCACATATATTCTTGTATAGCAGAAGCTAATGCCAGCTGATACTTGGTTTCTGTTTAAGAAAGTATTACCGTCGTTCGCTTTCTTGTAGACCATCCTATTGTCTATCCAAATATTTTAAATAATACCCAAAGGTGGATCTTTTATTATTGTTGTCAATTACGAATTTTGTATCAACATATCCCTTTTAAATGGTTTACTTCTTTACATGTTGCGTAAAAATGACCAACAACAATAATACCCTTAACATAACGCTGTGCTCTTCTAAGTTGATTGTAATGACTGTCTGCCGATTATTACCGATTTAAATTCAAGCATATTCTTATTTATGTGTTCGGCATTATTAACAAAAATATGAAATACAATATCTTAATTTTCTATTCCACTCCTACAGTCTTATTATTTCATAAATTCTTATATAATGATTTTCAAGACTAGTATCGTTTTAATTTAAGTCGCTTTCTAAAATATAATTAACTAACAAGACTTGTACGCTCCAGAGTCTAGCACACTAATTAGCACACACATGTAGTTTTTATAACAATGCAAGTGGGCATACACTTAAAAAAACACATTGGATTGATTTTTCTAGACTTTTGAAATACAACTATTGATAGCAATAAGATTATACCTTGTTTGTCTATTTATTGCCATTTAAACCTTTTTTGACCCGTCACTTGTGTAATATCTTTTTAAATCAATTATTTTGCAAGATATCTAAAATATTAAAGATCAGAACAAGAACAATACACATTGAATTCAAAAAAATGATGTTATATTTATCTACTAGTTATATAGAAAGAAAAAAATGTTAAAAATATCTTTATTAAACTAATGACCCTCCAGTAGGAAGCTTCTTTTTTCTGTCAATCTGCTTTTTGTACATTTATTATGTTCATTGTTCTAGATTGTATTAGATTGTATAGTAAAAACTAAATAAGGAAAATAAATCTATAACAATATCTCAACAAAGAAAGTTCTGAACTGCGGTTATTCTTTCTTAAATGTAATCTAATAAATTTCACTTCAAAATAGGTTACATAAAATAGAGAGCTTCATATGGGAAATATAATTATTTTTCTATGATTTTACTTATACGTGTGTACAAAAAATAAAAGTAGATAATATAAACTAAATTTGACAAGTTTTTTAAAACAATATTTTGACATTTCCATGCTCTGCCACATAACCGAAAAAAGTGTTACCAAAAAAGCGTAACAAAAAAACGTTACTAAAAATTGTTTAAAACTTAAGTAAATTAAATCTGGGATAAATGGCTTGGCTTAAAGTTATTTTTCCAGATATTAAACACCAAAATATTAACTAGAAATTTGATTTGTTTTAATTTACTAGGTTGTTACTGCTTGTTAATATTATACTATATCATAATCTATAATTCCACCACTACTCTAAATTTATTCGGTACTTCAACGAGACATGAAAATGCCCTTTCGTGGTCGCAGACTCGGCTGAAAAATGTTTTTTTTATAATTTTTTAGGTAGAGGAAGACCAAGTTACCCCAACCTTAAAGAAGTATGCCTTCTAATAGGTTTACTTCGAAGTATGCAATTTCCCGATTCATATATAAAAACCGCTAGTGTTGATCAAGCGGGCAATGTTTGTACGTTAACATCACAAAATCGCAACTTCCAATACACGCCTTATCTCGGCTATATTTTTCCAGTAATGACAGTGGACAATTACCGCCGAGTTACGAGCGTTTTAATTGAGGCAATGAACTGGTTCATCTAAAGTAGACCATCAATCGTAGCTAGCTTTTAAAAAATTATATTCTACCTATTGTTGTTATTTTACTTAAATAATATTTATAGGTCGCACTTGTAGCTAAACTGTCAATTAATTCAATATATTACAAAATAAACGATTTCGTTCATTGATATTTAATACACTTAACCACTTGTGATTTTTATAAAACTCTATCCATTGCGGTGTAAAAAATGAAATTGAAATAATAACATTACTTGCCCAAAATACAATATATTATTATTTTACTTCAGAAATTGTTGTGTACTGGTAGTGCAAGTAATGTGCCAACAGTCACTATGGTAAAGACGCCTAAATAATTATATAATCAAAGCCTTTACTATAATTTATCATTCAAATAATAAATTTATAATTGGTAGTCGATTTTCTTGATAAATGACTGTTAGTACTGCCTCTCCTCACAACTTTATTAGACACATTTGGTTGTAATGGTAATGATCAAGTTCTTTCGAATAATATTCTATTTAATCTTTCTGTTAAACTATTTTGTCCAGATGTGTAGGGAATGGTATAGTCAACTACAATTCCTTAAGCTTAACTCAAAATGTTAAAACACATTACCTACATAATCTCGTCCATTGTCACATCTCAGCATGGATAATTTCAAGTCAAAATATGCACGTACAATTAGTGTATAGTATTTTTTTAAACAATTAAACCCTTGATATTTGTTTTGTAACTGACCAGACACTGAAAACCCGGTATAATTATCTATAAAATACCTTTTACCCTTCCGTTAATGTTAAATCTATTATGCTTACTGTTCTACATTGTAACAGACTACATAAATAAAAATTAAATAAAGAAAAACAAAATACATAACACTAAATCATTTATAATAAATTTCATTGCAATAGGGTTTTTTTTATGGCTAATATCATTATTTTTCTATGATTTTGTTTGTACACGTGTATTAGTGGTGTTTAGAACAAAAGTAGATATAAGCTAAAATTGACAAGTTATTAAAGATATTGATTTATAAATTTCAAGGTAAAGGAACACCAAGATTCCCCAATCGTACCGAAATATGTCTTCTAATAGGTTTGCTCCGAAGTATGCGGTTTCCAGATTCGTACATAAAAACAACTACTGTTGCCCACTCTGGTTATTTTTGTACGTTAACTTCACAAAATGGCACATTCGAATACAGAATTTATGACATCTATATTGTTTTAGTAAGGCAAATGGGTCCTAATTATTATGGACGAATTGTGAACGTTTTAGATGAGATACACAATTGGTTCCTGTAAAATAGATCATCAATCGTAGCTAGTTTTTAAACAAATATTTTGCACACACTGATGCTATTTTACTTTAATAATATTTATATGTCGCACTTGTATCTGAATTGTCATACAATTCAATATATTTCATAATAAACAATTTCTTTCATTGGTATTTAATACTCTTAACCCCTTGTGGTTTTATTAAACTCTGCCCATTGCTGTATAAAAAAAACGAAATTGGTATAATACCTGCCCTCAATACAATTTAATATTTACCTCAGAAATTATACAACAGTAAGTATTAATTTATAAAATAACTTTAATTTTAGTTGTCATAATATTACACATTTGAAGCTAAAACTCGATTATCAAATATTGAAAAATGAATAATGAAAATGATGAAAATCATAATATGGTAAGATACCATGTATTTAATAAATATATTTGGTTTGACTAATCATAGATAACATTTATTAGTAGTTATTAATTGTGTACGTGAATTAGTATTAAAATAATGTTAAACGATTTCAAATCTGAAAATTTATACAAGTAAGGTATTATAGAGAATTATAGAGCAGTTTTGACCAAAATCAAACAACAATATATTATTAAAAACGTTTTTTTTTTTCGAAACGTTGGTAAAATACTACCATAATCTTGTGTTATACCAGACAATTTTAATTTACATTAGTAAACATAGTCCATACTATATCTGTTAAATGTGATAAATGATAACGTGTACAAATGAAAATTGAACACGTTCTTAGGCATTATCTGAAAATTGTACGCGGAATTTTATTAAAAATGTAATATATTTTCTTAAAAATAATAATTATATGGTATAACAGATGAAAAAAAATATGAACACATCTGTAAATACAAAATTCAATTAAAGTATAATTTATTATTTAAGAATAATTTAAAAGCAGAAAGTAAAACAAATTAACAGGTATGTACAGGGTGAATTTTATCATGAGCCCCTATAATAATTGAATTATTCTTTCACAGAATTTTCATTAAATGTGACCACAATTTTCCTATAATGTTTATGTGTCTACTCCTCCCAAACTGATTATTTTCATAGCAACTTTTAAAATTTAAATGGTAACGCATGCATGTTATTAACTTTTAAAATTGTGAATAATATACTAACAAATTTGACTGGTCCAAGTTGCTATCAGAAAACCTAATTTAAAGGTGGGTTAGAACAAAAACATTTTGTAGTAAATTAAGACCTTATTACAATAAATAAAAGACCATGGAAAAAAAAACATTAAATTATTGATTTAACACTACCGTTGTTTGAATATAGTAGTCGGGGTTTCATTAGAAAACTAAAGAATTGCCTTTTAAGAACTACTAAAAGTTATAACAGTTAAAAAAAAAAGATTATACCCACTGTGTATACAAGGTGAACAAATCCTAAAACAAATATCTGATTCGAGAATAATTTAAAAGCAGTAAGTAAAAAAATTTAACGGGTATGTACATTGTACAGGATGATTTTTTTATAACGGGCCACTGGGATTAATTAATAATTGAATTGTTTTTATTAGTGTTTTCATATATTGTGACAACAGTTTTCCTATGGTGTATCTGTCCCTACCCGTTCCAAACTAATTATTTTTATATCAACTTTTAAAACGTAAATGGTAAATTATACATTTTATTTTAAGTCAGTTAGACCGTTAGTAACCAGTTTTGGATAATGCATTTTAAAGTTGTTATCATTCAAACAAATTTGAAGAGGGGTGTAAGAAAATACAAAATTGTGGACAATTAAGTTCACATTACATAAAAACACCATGGAAAACAAATTACTAAATTATTGATTTAACACAGTGAGATGTAGAGTTGCCCACGATGAAAAAAGCACCCTATATACATTATTTAGGTTATAATACAAACTACAAGTGTCGATTACGTTTTCTATAAAATATTATAGTGCTTTGCGAACTGCAAAATATATTTTTTTATTTTACTTATTTTGTCGACGTTACGACTTACAAGAAAAACACTCTAACATAAAACGTAATACAAGCTTTTAGAATTCATATTTTTCTTATAAGTTATATTATGCGAATTGTTTCAACTTATTGTCCAGAACTATGAAGCTTGTTTGCATTATGATAACGCTTGCCTTTGTGAACGTTTCGCCGATACTGACAGGTAATTATATAACTTTTACAAGTACATATTCAACGTTGTTAAAAATTTGAACAGAAAAGTAAATAATTTAATTCTTTCTCATAGCGGACTATGCAAATTCGGTTTACACTACAAGTCAGTACCCAATTTTTATACGATATAAAATGTTTGTTAATTTTGTACATAAGTTTTAAATAATTTATTATAGACAAATACATCAAAGAGGCTTTTGATAATGGTGAGATACATTTTGATTTTTAGATGGCTTATAAATTAAAAACAAGCTATATATAAAGTTTGTTTTTATATCAGTTTAGAACATAAGTGAACGAGATACATAGTACCAGTATACCAAACAATACTGTATAAATACTAAATTGTAAAAGAAAATCGATTATATTTTATACAATTTAAATAAATTGTTTCTATGGGTATTGGCCATTTTGGTTTATTTTAGACCAAAAAGTCTGACAAAATTTCGACAAGATAAGATGGTCCAAGTTCAGTTCTGCAAAAAGAATCCAGTTTTTTGGCTACATTACTATGTAATGTTGGAAGCCGATTTTCATTTAAATATTTCAGTTTTCTGTAGTTAAATAAATTAAATTTATAAAATTTTAAATATTAAACTACATAAAAAAGTTGTCAAAAATCTCGTATGTCTCTACAGTACTAAAATCGGGCCATCCTAAGTAGTCAACATTTTATCTAGTTTTGGGTCTAAATCGTAAAAAAGTAACTGACCCCATTCAATCTTCCTAACATAACGGGTTGAATTGCGTTAAGTAAATAGTCACTTTAAAAATATGTATATTCTTGTTCTGAACATTTTTATGTATAATATTATACATTATTATGATTTCATTTAAAATTGTGTATATAGCTCAAACCACTATTTGCTTATAGATCCTGCTGGACTGGAAACTGCAATTTCAAATATTATGAAAGGAGATAAACCATTTGGTAATCATAATTATATAACGAGAAAAATAATTAAAATACAGATTGCTACCAGAAAAAAGTGTTAAAACTATAGTGTTATAAAAAATCCGACATCATTAATTCATCAATTTATATTATTCCTATTTCAGATATCCTTAATTTGATGTTGGCTATACCGGGTAATAATATTTTTCGTATCGCTTGTTGGACGTATTTCCTCATAGATGCTTGATAAAAATTAATAACTAATTTGAGCATAACATATTTTCGTTTTAATTTCAGACAAAGCAAATTACTGGTTTTCAATTGAACATGGTAACCAATTGTTATTTACTACTAATACTTTACATAGATCCTTATATAACGATCTAAATACGGTATTTTTTTCTGTTTCCTATGGCTCACACTATCGAATGATAGTAGTCTCTCCGTAAAAGAACTTACTTAGATTTTAGGTCTCTAGCTCAAATCGAAATAGTACCTCGAGTGTGATTAACTTGAAAATAATGTTTTCTTGAAAAAGTTCTGTTTTGAAAAATATGTAGTTCATTTTTCTGACAATATTCATCGCCTCATACTACTTATACTTTACAAAGACTGTTGTTTTTCCTATGGCCCACAATTTCAATCGATAGTAATATATCCAAAAAAGAACTCCCTTAGATTTTAGATCGCTAGCCCAAATCTAAGTAGTACCTCGTGTTTTATTCGTTTAATTAACATGGAAAATAATACATTTTTATTGAAAAAAATTCTAGTACGAAAAATAAGATGTCCTCTCTTTCATTTTTCTGACAACACCCAACGTCGTTTTTTTAAGAAAATGGTCTCGAGATTTATTCAAAAATAAACATTACAAAATATAACAAAAAAATGAATATATTGTAAATATTTTACAAATTACAAAAATATTAAATACTGACGTGCCGTTAATGAACATCCTCTTTCTCCGGTCATTTATGTCATTTGTGTACATGTATGTCATCAAATTTACTATTTGCAAATAATAATTAGTATAAAAATACATAGTTAATTATCCACATAGCTTGATAACATATATTTGTTTTAATTTTAGACGATGCATTTATTAGCACCTTACCAGGTAATCTAATTGTACATATTTTATACTCCTAATACTGACACTATACAGTTTTATATACAAGTACCATTATTACGGGTTTTGTTTAAGTAGGTACCTTGTTATTTTTTTTTTTATTTGATTAACATGGGATCTTTGAATTTTTCCTTATTTAAAATACTATCGTTTCTGCCATAAGAAAATAAATTGTATAGTATTTATATTGTATTTCAGAACAACTTGCCATAGTTGATCAGGTGGCAGTGCAAGAAGCTATATACCAAGTTACAAGTAAATATAAAGTTTCAAATTTTTTTTGGACAATTTTCAAAATTCATAATTATTCAGTTTTAATTAAATTCGATAAATGTATGATAATAGTTCAAAATCATGTAGCCATTAATGTTTTTTGATACAAGTCTTGAGAGTTTATTAAATACAATTCAAACCAATTTATACATTTTTACATTGATTAGGTAAATGTGTGTGTTTTTACTAGAAAATAATTAAATTGTTTTTACAGAAATCCATGTGCCTCAACTTGGGCCGAACGAAAGTAAGCAAGTATTTAATAACTGACGTCAATAACCTTAAAGTCTTAGTTTAAGAGCCAATAAACCAATTTCTTTAAAACACTTATTTTTTCACAGATTTTGAGAATGATTCATTAGTACAGCTTGGAGAAGAGAGAAGACGTATAACAGGAAAAGTTACAAAAAAATTACTTATCGCTGCAATAGGTAAATATTAATTTTTTGTGTAGATTTCTACTAGTTTTACTTTTAATTATAATTATTTTATTTAAAGTACCGTTCAAATAATACACTTATAACTTATACACATCTCTACAAGTAAATCTTTTATCCACATTTATTCTTGTGTAGCCGATGCTTCTGTTTGAGAAAGTATTACCGTCGTTTGCTTTCTAGTAGACCAGCATACTGTCTATCCAATTTTTTTAAATAATTACCAAAGATGGATCTTATATTATTGACTTCATTAATTATGAATTCTGTATGAACATATCAATAATCTAGTATATTATAGATTTATGATATTGTTATATCAATAATAATATCAAAATACAATTAGGCATAGAACTTACACAACATAATTGGTTTTTCTAGAATCGCATTCTAACATATAACTATTGGTAGTATTATGATTAGACCTTGTTTGTTTTGTTCATTTGATGTCATTTTTTAATTTTTTTTGATCCTTCGCTTGTGCAATGTCTTTTTAAATCAATGATTTTGCAAGATATCCAAGAGATTATAGTTCAGAACAAGAATAGTACTCATTGAATTCAATAAAACGATGTGTATCGTTATCTAGCAAACAAATTTGAAATATAACTTTATTTAACTTTGTGTCCAGCGGGTGTGGCTTTCTTTTTCTGTCAACCTGCTCTTTTTAATTATAACGTCTATTATGCTTGTTGTTCTAAATTGTATAAGATTGTATAAATAAAAATTAAAGAGAGAAAAAAATCCTTTACAATGTCTCAATAAAAAAAGTTCTAAAGCAAACTGCGGTTATTCTTTCTCAAATGTATTTTATTAAATTTTATTTCAAAATAGGTTACATAAAATAATTTGAACGGTTAATAAAAGTAGTTATAAGCTAAAATTGACAAGTAATTAAAAACATTTTTTTTTATAATTTTTAAGATGCTGGAGCACCAAGATTTCCCAACCTTAACGAAATTTGCAATCTAATAGGTTTGCTCCAAAGTATGCGATTCCCAGATTCATATATAAAATCCGTTTTTGTTGATCCCGCTGGTATTTTTTGTATGTTTACCTCGCTAAATGGCAGAATCCAACATCTTGATATTGGCTTAATTGATGAAGTAAACCCAATAGATCCTTATCGTGTTGAATTTATGGTTTTTTTGAGAGAGATACAGAATTGGTTCCTGTAAAACAGACCATCAATGGTAGCCAGTTTCTTCAAAAATTATATTGCACCTACTATTGTTATTTTACTTTAATAATATTTATGTGTCGCACTTGTATCTAAATTGTCATTTAATTTAATGTGTTACATAATAAACAGTTATTTCTTTAATACACTTAACCACTTGTGATTTTATTAAATTATATCCATTGTATTGTAAGGTATAAAATTGAAATAATAACATTATCTGCCCTCAATACAATATAATATTATATTGTAACTTCATAAATTATTGTGTACTGCTAGTGCCAGTAATGTGCCAACAGTCACTATGGTTGAAGACAGGCGCATAAGTGTTAATATAATCAAAGCCTTCACTGTAATTTACTACTCAAATAATAAATTTATAATTGGTAGTAGATTTTCTAGGTAAGTACTGTCTCTCCTCTTAATTTGTTTAGACAAATTTGATTGTAACAGCAATTATCCAGTTCTTTTGGTCAATAAAAATTGTATTTCTAATGTTTAAGGTAAGAATAATTTATTAAATAAATCAAATTAAAGATGTGGATATAAGTGTATATTACTAGGTGTTGCTTACAAGTTAAAGAGATATTTCACCTATCATTTCATAGATATAGACTTGACGCAATGGATACGCAATCGATCCATATTATTTATCCTTGAAGTCCTATCTTTGAACTAGTATCTTCAGATCACACAACTCGCGTTAATAAAAAATAATCAGTCATTAATATTATCAAGTTTTTATTTATGCCTGTGGTCGACCACGAGCTCACTCTAATATAAAATATAAATAAAAGTATTTTAAAATGATAACCGTATCGACTGCCAAACCATTTAACAGGTAATAGTCAGGTAATATAAATATGATAAGATAAGTAACATCAATAATAACGATTTTATGATAGTAAATTATTATGAAGGTTTTCTGTTCGATTGACAGTCGTAGCATAATATCTGTGTATAAACATTTCTCCCAACTCCCAATTAAGAGCATTGTATTTAGGTAGGTACATAACACTCAAATTAAGTAAATATTTAAACGGCTATAGATTTCTTAACAAAAACGATTAATTCAAACGTTGCTATTTGAGTTTCTTAAGCCAACCCTCAAATTTTCCATTAATTTTAGGTTTAAACACTTTTGAAAATTAAAATATTAAGCAACATGTAAGTTAAACAATTATTTTTGTTTGGTAATTTTTGCCCAGTGTAAGTATTTCATCGAAATTTCCGCTGTTACAGAAACTGTGAATGACCCTGTATATACAGAATGGTAGTGTGATCAAAAACAAACATTATATTTTAAATTTTTGCTTTCGTGTTTAAACTTTTTTTCTAAAAGATGTTTTTTGTGACTCTGGTGAAAAAATATAATGTTGCGTTTTCCCCGGTGGTTTCAAATTTTCATATGTACACATAGCCCATGCGATAGCTGTTGTTTAAGTGTAAAAAAGATGTGTACAAATGACTGTGTAACACGTAGACATTGATGGAATATTGTACTCGGTATTTTATTATAGTGCTATGTATACTGAAAAATATTATTTTAGTGTTACTACTTTGGTTGACATATCGACACGCCGACCTTACGACTAGAGTTGCAAGGAAATCACTGTAACACAAAAAGTAAAAACCGGTATTATAATTCATATCTTTTTAATAAGTTGTATTATTTGAATTGTTTCAATTATATTGTCCAGCACTATGAAGCTTCTCTGTATTTTAATAACGCTTGCCTTTGTCAACGTTTCACCGATAATGACCGGTAATTATATAATTTTTCCACATACCTTTTAAAGGTAGTTAAAAATCTAAACAGAAAATTTAACACTTAATTCTTCATCATAGCGCACTATGCAAATTCGGCTTACATTACAAGTCAGTACCAAATTTTCATATGATGTAACATTTTTTTAAAACTTTGAACCATTTATATACATAAGTTTGAAATAATTAATTACAGACAAACACATAAAGGAGGCTTTTGATACAAGTAAGATACATACATGCTTGTTTAGCTATAGTTTTTTTTTTTTATATCAGTTCAGAATATAAGTGAACGGGGTATTTAGCAACAGTATACCAAATAATACTGTATATATATATATATTAAATTGAAAAAGAAAATCAATACACTCAATAGATTAAAGTTCTTATAGTTTACATAGAACATTTTTTGGGCTATACAAAATTCCTCTTTCACATAACAGGCTGAGTAGCGTTAAGTTAAATAGTTACCTTAAAGCTAAGAATATTCTTGATCTGAAGATTTTTGTGTATAATTTTATACATTATTATGATTTCATTTGAAATTGTGTATATAGCTCAAACCACTATTTACATATAGATCCTGCTGGATTGGAGACTGCAATTTCAAATATCATTAACGGAGATAAACCGTTTGGTAATCATTATATATATAAAGAAAAAAATAATTAAAATATAGATTGCTACACAAAAAAAGTGTTAAACTTGTAGTGATAAAAAAAATTCATCAATTTTTATTATTATTATTTCAGAGACACTTAATTTGATGTTGGCTATACCGGGTAATAATATTTCTTATCACTTATTGGACGTTTTTCCAAATAGTTGCTTGATAATAATTAATAACTAATTTGGGCAATATATGTTTTCGTTTTAATTACAGAAAAAACAAATATTTTCAGAATTAATCATGGTAACTAATTGTTTTATACTATTTATTCATTACGCAGATTCCTATATTGTATTTTTATTTTTCCTATGGCTCACATTTTCAATTAATAGAAGTCTACCAAAAAAAAAAACCCTTTTAGATTTTAAAACTCTAGCTCAAATCTAAGTAGTACCTCGTGTTTTTTCGTTCAAGTAACATGAAAAATATTAGATTTTTATTGGAAAAATTTTAGTTTAAAATATTTTTATATTTTTAAAATGTTTTATTTTCCGACAACTTCCAACGTCGTCTATAAAGAAACTGGTCTCGAGATTTATTCATGAAATAAAACTTATAAATAAAATCTTACAAAATAATGGGTATATTCTTAATATTTTATAAATTACAAAAATACTGAATCCTGACGTTTCTTAAGTGAACAGGCACTTTTTCAGGTCATTCATGTCAGGTGTGTACATGTTATGTCATCAAATTTACTATTTGCAGTTAATTAGTACATACATAGTTATGTTTCCACATAGTTTGATAACTTTTTTTTTGTTTTAACTTTAGATGAACCATTTATTATGAAATTACCAGGTAACATATTTGTTAATATTATACGGTTTTTGTTTAAGTAGCTTGTGATTTTTTTTTTACTTGGTTAACATTGGAACTCTTAATTTTTCTCAATATAAAATTTATTATCATTTCTGTCATAATAAAATATATTATATAGTATTTTTTGTATTTTATTACATATTGCCATAGCTGATCAAGAGGCAGTGCAAGCAGCCATATCACAGTTTACAAGTAATTAATATAGAGTTTAACATTTTTTACCAAAATTGAAAAATATAATATTTCTAAGACATAGAGCTCTATAATGTTTTTTGATACAAGTCTTGATAATCCTTTGAAATACAGTTCAAACCAATTTTAACATTTTTACATAGATTATATGTGTGTTTTTACTATTTTTATACAGCCATCCCTGTGCCTAAATTTGGCCCGAACGAAAGTAAGCAAGTATTCAATAACTGATGTAAATAGTCCTAAGGTCTTAGTTTCAAAGCCAATTAACCAATAAAAAAAAATGTAAATGCTTTAACTTTTTTTTACAGATTTTGAGAAGGATTCATTGGGACAGCTTGGAGAAGAGAGAAGACTTATATTAGGAAAAGTTACAACAAAATTACTTACTGATGCAATAGGTAAATATTAATATTTTGTGTAGATTGGTACTAGTTTTACTTTTAATTATAATTATTCTGTTAGAGAATAGTACAGTCAACCACAATTCCTTTAGCTAATCAAAAATGTTTAAGCTCACAACTTAACTACTATCGTCCATTGTCTCATCTCAACAAGGATAATTTATTGTCGATATATATATATATATATACATATACAGTTATTATGTTTATTACATTATTTGTTTTGAAACAATTAAACCCTTGACATTTGTTTTATATCAATTACCTTTCCATGAGGTCGGTTTTTAGGTCCACACTCGTTATAAATTTTCGTATCGTTACATATATAGCTTATTGAAATCTAAAATATTTTGGTATCATTAATTAAGACCGTCCCTCCAGTGGATGACTTCTTTTTTCTGTCAATCTGCCATTTGTAAATATTACATATATTATCCTTATTGTTCTACATTGTAGCAAACTGCATAAATAAAAATATAAATAAATAAAAACTAAATCCATAACAATAACTCCATAACTCAATAGTTTATTATAACCTTAACAGTTTTTTAGGTGTATATATATATATAAACGAATGTATAACAATACTTTATTATTAAAGTAAATAAAGTACAACATAAATTTGTATTTATATTTATCAATATTAAAAAAAAAATGAGTACATCAACTTACTGAATTTACTTACTGTATAAATTATATTATACAAAAAAAGAAAACTAATTTACAATAGTGTAATCCGAGTGACAGGCATTTCTGAGATTGATTTTAAAACAACATCATTTAAAAAATAATAATACCATTTTCAATGGTATACTTGGGTTTTTGTTTTGACTATTTCAGTAGGTTGAAATAACAACAGATCTTTCCAGTAAACAATTACAGTATCCAGTCGTTGTCACCGACGCTGATAGTGACTATTATTTTTGTGTTTATATATATATATATATTTTTACTATCGACAAATTTGTATAGATAACATTAATTTAAATCTTAATATAAAAAATATAAAAAAATATTGTAATAAATTCTTATAAAACAGGCACAATATTCGATCGATTAAAACATATATTCAATAAAACTACTGAAAATATATAATGCAAACATAAGTTTACCGACCAACATAAAACCAATAACTGTATAGAAAATATTATAAAAAATGTATCATTAAAATTTTACTACTTTGGTTGACACATCGAACACCAAAAATTGATACAAACTATTAGAATTCTTATAAGTTAATAATAATAATAATATAGTGTTTGTACAAACAGTATTAATTTAACAAATATTTATTTAAATGTTACGTTATAGTCAATTTTAACAAAAATATGAGAATTTGCATGGAAATAAAAGCGGTTGTGAATTTAATAAACATAATAGTTTATACTTATTATAAATAATAACACCAGTCATTAGTAGTTATTATTTGGTTGTATGGAATAGTATTAAAATAGTGTTAAATGTTATCAAATTATAAAATAAACTTAGTTAATGTACCACACAGAATAGTAGAGAGACCAAAAACAAATAACAATATAAAGCTTCCAATTCTTCAATTAAAATAGTGCTATAGTGCAATGTTTGCAAGGGTAAATTATTTTTTTGGACATGGACAACCTCTGTCTCGTTATTATTATTTTCCATGAAAATTCTATTCACTTCCACGCCATCAAATAACAAGTTGGAATTTATGCACGGAGATATAAGTTACTATGTATTTCATAATTACAATTGCTTTGACTTATCATAGATAATAATTATTAGTAGTCATTATTTTTGTGTATGTGAATTAGTATTAAAACAGTGTTAAACGTTTTAAAATTTTAAAATTTATATAAGAATTGTGCTATACAAAATAACAGTTTTGACTAAATATAAACAACAATATATTTATTTAAAAACGCTTTTTTTCGACACGTTGGTAAACTACTACTATAATCTTGTGTCATCGCAGACGTTTTTAATTTACATAAGTACACATAGTCGATACGATATTTGTTAAATGTGATAAAATAGAACGTGTACAAATGAAAATGTAACACGTATGTATTATCTAAAAACTGTACACGGGATTTTAATAAAAAATTTCATATATTTTATTGAAAAAATAATTATATGGTTAAATGAAAAAAAAAATATGAGCACATCTGTGTATACAAAATTCAGTTAAAGTATATAAGATTCAAGAATAACTTAAGAGCAATAAATAAAAAAATTGAACAGATATTATGTACAAGGTCGTTTTTTTATTATGGGCCCCGAATTTGGTTAAACTGGTCTTAACCTAATAATTCAAATATTTTTTACTAGTAATTTCATGTTATGCGCCCACAATTTCCCTATAATGATAATGTTCCTACCTCCTCCAAAACTGATTATATTCATATCACCTTTTGGAACTTGAATGGTAACGAATACGTTTTATTCAATTTTACAATTGAGAACATAATACTTTCAATTGTGACGGTTCAAGTAACTATCGAAAAACCTAATTTGAAAGGAGATAAGAAAATAACAATTTGTGGAAAATTGAGTTTAAATTATATGAAAACGAAAATTATTAAATTGTTAATTAAATACAGTGAGATGTAGAGTTGCCCACCATAAAAAAATCACCCCGTATATGTTATTTATTTTATAACAAAAACCACAAGTGTCGCTAATTTTTGTATAAATTATTTTAGTGCTCTGCATACTGCAAAATATATTTTAATTATACTTCTTGGGTTGACATATCGACACGCCGATAGAAAAAGTAATACAAGCTTTTAGAAATCTTATTTCTCTTATAAATTATATTATTTGAATTGCTTAATTAATATCATCCAGCACTATGAAGCTTCTGTGCATTTTAATAACACTTGCCATTGTGAACGTTGCGCCAATTATGACAGGTAATTATTTAATTTTTACACGTACCTTTGCAAGGTAGTTAAAAATCTCAATAGAAAATTCAACATTTAATTCTTCCTAATAGCAGACTATGCAAATTCGGTTTACATTACAAGTCTGTACCAAATTTTCGTACGATAAAACATTTTTTTTAAATTTATTATTTTAATACGTTAGATTGAAATAATTTATTACAGACAAATACATCAAAGAGGTTTTTGATAGAGGTAAGATAAATTATTATTTTCAGATGATATATAAATTTACAACAAGCTATAAGTTTTTGTTTTATATCAGTTCGGCATATAATTGAACGGGGTATGTAGTACCAGTGTACCAAACAATACTGTATAAATACTAAATAGTAAAAGAAAATCGAATAATTTATATTTATAAGTACTTAAAAGAGTAAAATTCACATTGAACATTTTTTGGGCCTTACAAAATTACTAATTCGAATAAACGGTTGAGTAGAGTAAAGTTAAGTGTGTATATACTGAAAAAGACAACTCCTATAATCTACATAGAACATACTAAGCTATACAAAATTACTATCTAAGTAAACTGCATGCGGTCTATAAGCACATTTGCATAGCTCTAACGTTTAAGAAAAAATTGGTTTTAATAAATTTCGACAAAGTCAATTAATTTACCCGTTAATTTGTACAAACTCCAGGGTATTATATTTAACTAAAATATGTTATTCTATGAGTATTAGCCACTTTGGTTTATTTTAGACCAAAAAGCCTGGCAAAATTTCGACCACATAGGATAGTCCAATTTCAATTCTGCAAAAAGATTCCAGTTTTTTGGCTACAATATTATGTTTTTAGGAATTCGATTTTCATTTTTAATTATTAAACTGCATAAAAAAAGTTGCCAAAGAACTCGTATGTCTCTGCAGCATTGAAATTGGGCCATCCTAAATACCCCTTTAACATAACAGGTGGAGTATGTTCTAATGATGTTTATGAATCACTATTATGATTTTATTTGAAATGTTGTATCCAGCTTAAGCCGATATTTGATTATAGATCCTGATGCATTGGCAACTGCAATTTATAATATTATTTACGGAGATAATACATTTGGTAATCATTATTATTTAAAAAAAAAAAAATAATTAAAATACAAACTGCTACCAGAAAAGAAGTGTTATAAAAAAATCGAACATCATTAATTCATTAATATATCTTATACTTATTCCAGATGTAATAAGTTTAATGTTGGCCATACCAGGTAACAATATTTCTTATCACTTGTTGGACGTATTCCCGCATAGTTGATTGTTAATATTTAATAACTAATTTGGGCATAACATGTATTCGTTTCAATTTCAGAAAAAGCAAATATTTTCAGTATCGATCATGGTAACTAGTTGTTAAATACTACTAATACTTAAATGATACCACGTGTTTTTTTCGTTTAATTAACATGGAAAATATTAAATTTTCATTGAAAAAGTTCTGGTTTAATACATTAATTGTATTCTCTTTCATTTTTCTGACAACATCCAACGTCGTCTATAAAGAAACGGGTCTCGAGATTTATTCGGAAAATAGAAATTATAAATAAAAACTAACAAATAATTGGGTATAGACTTAATGTTTTACAAATTACAAATATTTTTGATTCTGACGTTCCGTTAGTGAAGGGCCCTTTTTTCAGATCATTTATGTCATGTGTCATGCATCAAATATTCTTTTAAAAAAAAATTTTCGAACACATTTACACTAAGTTTTTATCCACATAGATTGTTAACATATTTTTGTTTTAATTTCAGATGACTCATTTATTATGAACTTGCCAGGTAATCTGATTGTATAATATATTTTATACTCCTGACACTTGTTTCTTATACAATTATTATAGTTTTTGTTTAAGTAGCTTGTGATTTTTATTTTTTTTTAATTAACATGGAAACTTATCCATATGGGAACTTTTTAAAAAATATGTTATTATTTCTGTCATAATAAAATATTTTTTATAGTATTTTTTTGTAATTCAGAACATATTGCCATAGCTGATCAGGTGGCAGTGCAAGAAGCAATTTCCCAAGTTACAAGTAAATATAAAGCATAACATATTTTTTTTTTTACCAAATTCGAAAAATATATTATAATAGCTATAAGTTACAGAGCTATATTATATTTTTTATAACAAGTCTTGATAATCATTTGAAACGTAATTCAAACCAATGTATACATTTTTACATTGATTATAATATGTGTGTTTTTTATTATGTTTATACAGCCATCCCTGTGCCTAAACTTGGCCCGAACCAAAGTAAGCAAGTATTTAATAACTTATGTAAATAGCCCAGAGGTCTTAGTTTCAAAGCTAATAAACCAATTTTTAAAACGCTGTAACTTATTTTTGTTAACAGATTTTGAGAATGATTCATTGATACAGCTCGGAGAAGAGAGAAGAAGTATAACTGGAAAAGTTACAAAAAATTTACTTATCGCTGCAATAGGTAAATATTAACATTTTTGTGTAGATTGGTCCTAGTTTTACATTTAAATATAATTATTCTATTTTATATACCATTCAAATAATACATTTATAATTTATACACATCTCAACAAATAAAGCTTTTAGCTACATAGATTCTTGAATAGCCTTCTTGGATAGTATTCCGACGTTTGCTCCATAGTAGACCAGAATACTGTCTTTCCAAGTATTTTAAATAATTACCCAGATATAGCTCTTTAATTATTGACTTCATTTACGAATGCTGTATCAACAATATATTTTATTATTATATCACTAATAATATAACAATACATGTAGGCATAGAACTCACACAACATTGATTTTACTAGGTTATTCTAACATACAACTAATAATAGCATTATGATTAAACCTTATTTGTTTTATTCATTTATTGTCAATTTAAACTTTTTTGATCAGTCGCTTGTGCAATGTCTTTTTAAATGAATAATTTTGCAAGATATCGAAAAGATTGAAGATCAAAACAAGAATAGTACACATTAAAGTCAATTAAATTTTGTTATCCTAATCTGCTAGTTATATAGAATAAAAAATTTGAAATATGTCTTTATTTAACTTTGTCGTAGATCCCATATTGGGAGGCTTTTTTTCTGACAATCTACTCTTTGTAAATACTACATCTATTATGCTTATTGTTCTAAATTGTATTAGATTGTATAAATAAAAATTAAATGAATAAAAACAAAATCGCGATAAAAATAGTTGCGTATTAGAATTGCGGCTATTCTTTCTGCAATTTATTTTAATAAATTTCATTGCATAATAATTGTTACATATTATAGAGGTTTTTTATGGGCAATGTCATTATTTTTCTGTTATAATGCTAAAAATAAATATAGATACGAGTATATAAGTTAAGATTGACAAGTTTTAAAAAACCATTTTTTTTTTTATAATTTTTAAGGTAAAGGAACACCAAGATTCCGTAATCTTACCGAAATATGTCGTCTAATAGGTTTGCTCCGAAGTATGCAAAGCCCAGATTCATATATAAAAACGGCTATTGTTGATCAAGACAATTTTGTTTGTACGTTAACTTCGCAAAATGGCAGATTCCAATACATACCTGACCTCTATTATGCTTTGGTGAGGCAAATGGTTCCTAATGTTTATGAAAGTATTGGACACGTTTTCAATGATATACAGAATTGGTTCATGTAAAATATCAATCGTAGTTGATTTTTTAAAAATTATACTGCACATACTGTTGTTTTTTTACTTTAATAATATTTATATGTCACACTTGTATCTAAATTTTCATTTAAGTCAATGTATTAGAAATTAAACAATTTCTTTCATTGATATGTTTTAATACTATAAACCACTTGTGATACAATATAATATTTACCTTAGAAATTAAACAATAATTAATATTATTTTATAAAATAAGTTTGATTTTAGTTGTATTAATATTACACAAATGAAATTTCAAAACGATTACCAAATTTAAGTCCCTATACTTGTTCATGCTTAAAACCCCACTTAAAAGATCAAAATACAGAGTGTCCCAGAAAGATTTGGCAAATGAAACAACTTTGGTTATAGTGAATATTTTTAAGACTTTTTTTTTAAATTAATTTATACTGATTTGCGCTATAAACACCACTTTCTTAATTCAATTTATTTTAATTGTTTTATCATTTAAAAATAATTTGCTGAGTATTTTGACTGGTCGATAACCAGTTCTGGATAGTTACATTATACATTTTTAATATGACAGACGTTGGATATGATAAATTATCTTATAATTTAAAAAATCTCTATAATATGATATTAGTACAATTAATACTGATAAAATAAATATTTAAATGTTACATTTTTTTTCACAAAAATAAAGGCAATTTTTTCACCTACATATTCAAACACAATATTAAATTTCAACTGTTATTTTTCTACATTTTTGACCTGATAATTATTCCTTATGTGATTTCTGTTTAGTACTTTGCAAGTTTATTCATCATCAAAAATTTAAGAGTTATTATTTATTTTATTTATTTCCCCAGTCTTCTATTTTTTTTTTATCTTTCTTATTTCTATAATCGCAATCTGTCAATAGACAACTATTATTCAACCGTAGGAGGTATCTTGGAAGTATTGACAGCCTTGTGGTGTTGTTTGGAAGCTTTTGCAGCCTTGCACCATTACTGCTTGGAAATTAATCACAATCTTATTGTGACTTCGGTCGTAGCTGGGCGAATCGAAACAGCCACTAGATTTAAAGGACCTAAGACGGCTGTATAGTCTTAAACTCTGTGGACTTCGAGAGCCGTTAAGTACTTGAAAATACAGCAAATAAAAATTGTTAATCTAATAAACTGGTCGATATGATCACGGTTAAGTTAGGTCAATTGCATAAATATAGATTACCAATCATAACGGTAAAAATATCGTTACTTTTTAAAGACTATAAGTGTAGAGACGTACAATAACATATCATTCGTACAGAAAAAGTGTTTAAATTAAATCAACATCATTAACGTCAGATAAAACTTCTACATCATCGCTGGAAAAAGACAAAGTACGTGGAAATATTGTATATTAATAACTTTAGAGTAATAATAGAACTAGGAGAAGTTAGGATGAATTAATAACATACAAATATACCTCACATAACGGACATTATATTTCCATCTCTCTATTATCCATATTGCCATTTTATGTTACCCTATTTTTATTAAAAATATAAAACAAAAAAATAATTAGATTATATAATTTAAAACTACAGATTAAAATTTTAGAGTTGTTGTTTATGAATCTTACCAATCACAAATTGAAATTTTAAAACAAGTTAGGTAGATTAGTAATGGACGTTAATATACTATAATGGTGGACCGGAGTAGTTTTACTGTAACGATAACGTTTAATATGCTAAAATACCAAATAATTATATAAATCATAATATGTTGGTAGTACAAACAATATTTAAATGTTACAATATATTAAAATATATTTTTCACAAACCGACCACCGTAAAACCAATAACTAAAATGAAAAGTATATTAAATTTAGCTCTAAAGTTTTACTACTTTGGTTGACACATCTAACACCGACCCAACGACTAGACGCAATAAAATCCCTAACAGCAATTGAAAAAAACTATTAGACAACATGCTATCTTTCTTAAAAGTTACATTTTTTAAAATATCTAATTTATAATATCCAACATTATGAAACTTTTAAAAATCATAATACGGTGTTAGTACAAACAATGTAAATTAAACAAATATTTAAATGTTATATTATAGAAGTTTTAACAAAATAAAGAGAATTTGAACGAAAATAAAAACTTTTATGTTTTTACTAAACATAATAGTTTGTACAGGGTCATTTTTTATCATGGACCACACAATATTCCACTGAGTTTAATTAATAATTGAATTATTTTTTCATATAATTTGACCACCATTTCCTTATAATGATAATGTTCCTACCACATCACAAACTGATTATTTTCCTATCAACTTTTGAAACTCAAATGGTAATTCATTGATTTTATTAACTTTTGAAATTGAGAATAAAATACTACAAATTTTGACGGTTCAAGCTATTATCAAAAAACCTAATTTCAAGGAAAGTAAGAAATTAACACTCGTGGAAAATTCAGATTACATTATATGAATACATAATGAAAAAATTATTAAACTATTGATTCAACACAGAGAGATGTAGAGTTACCCACGATAAAAAATCATCCTATATACGTTATTTTTTTATATTAAAAAAACAATTAGTCTCACTTAAGTTTTTTATAAATTATAATAGCGCTGTGCATACTATAAAAAATATTTTAATTTTGCTTCTTCAGTTGACACTTGGACACATCGACGTGACGTTGCGACTAGTTAAATCACTATAACACAAAAAGTAAAACAAGATATTAGAATTCATTTTTTTTTATAAGTAATATTAATTGAATCGTTTCAAAAATATTATCCAGCACTATGAAGCTTCTCTGCATTTTAATAACGCTTGCCATTGTGAACGTTGCGCCAATTATGACAGGTAATTATTTAATTTTTCCACATACCTTTTTAAGGTGTTAAAAAACTGAATAGAAAATTCAATATTTAATTATTTCTAATAGCGGACTATGCAAATTCGGTTTACACTACAAGTCAGTATTAAATTTTCATACGGTACGACATTTTTATTTATTTTATCATATTTTTACATAAGTTTGGAATAATTTATTACAGACAAATACATCAAAGAGGTTTTTGATAGAGGTAAGATATATTATTATTTTCAGATGATATATAAATTAACAACAAGCTAAAGTTTTTTTTTATATCAGTTCAGAATATGAGTTAATGGCTTATATACTACCAGTATATTAAATAATACTGTATAAATACTAAAATGAAAAAGAAAATCGAGTAAATTATATTTATACTTAAAAGAGTAAAATTCCTAAAATTTACATTGAACAATTTTGGGACTTAAAAAATTACTGATCCAAATAAACGGTTGAGTAGACTAATCTTAAATGGTTACCTTAAAGCTAAGTATATTCTTATTCTGAAGATTTGTATGTATAATTCTATACATTATTATGATTTTATTTAAAATTGTGTAAATAGCTCTAACACTATTTGCTTATAGATTCTACTATATTGGAGACTGCAATTTCAAATATTATTAACGGAGATAAAACAATAGGTAATCATTATTATGTAACAAAAAAATATAATGAAAATATAAATGGCTACCAGAAATAAATGATAAAATTATAGTGTTATAGAAAAATTGAACATCATTAATTCATCAATTTATATTATTCCTTTTTCAGCGACACTTAATGCGATGTTAGCTATACCGGGTAATAACATTTTTTACCACTTATTGGACGTATTTCCACATAGCTGCTTGATAATAATTAATAACTTATTTGGGCATAACATATTTTCGTTTTAATTTCAGACAAAGCAAATTACTGGTTTACAATTGAACATGGTACCAATTGTTATTTACTACTAATACTTTACATAGATTCTTATATAACGATATAATTAAAGTTTTTTTGTAATAATAATTTTTCATTGAAAAAATTCTAGTTTGAGAAATATTTATCGTCTTTCATTTTTCTGACAATATCCAACGTTGTCTATAAAGAAACTAGTCTCGAGATTTGTTTAAAAAATAAAAATTAGAAATAAAATCTAACTAAAGTAATGGAATGAGGTAATATTTTACAAATTAAGGTGCCATTAGTGAACAGCCCCTCTTTGAGGTCATTAAAGTTATAAGTTTCTGTTATTATGTCTTCAAATTAACTTATTGTTATAAATTTACAAATAAAAAAATAAAAAAATAGGTATTGGACATCTTTTCATGTAATTAATTATCCATATAGCTTGTATACATATTTTTGTTTTAATTTCAGATGACTCATTTATTAGCAACTTACCAGGTAATCTGTTTGCATATACTATACGTTATTTGGTTCAGTACCTTGTGTTTTTTTTTAATTTTATTAACACGGGAACTTTATTTTTACTAATCTAATTTATTATAATTTCTGTCATAAGAAAATATCTTATTTAGTAATTTTTTGTATATTTTTAGAACATATTGCCATAGCTGATCAGGTGGCATTGCAACAAGCAATATCCCAAATTACAGGTAAATATAAAGTTTAACAAATTTTTTTTTACCAAACTCGTAAAATACATATTTCAATAGTTTAAACTCTTAGATCTATACTATGATATTTTATACAAGTCTTGATAATCTTTTAAAATTTTTTCAAACCAATGTATTCACTTTTTCATTGAATTAATGTGTGTCTTTTAGTGGATAGTAATTGAAGGTTTGATATTTTGTTACACAGATATCCCTGTGCCCCAACTTGGCCCGAACGAAAGTAAGCATTGAGCATGCATTTATGAACTGACGTAACAGCCAATATACCAATTTTTATTTAATTTAATTCAATTTTTATTTAAGCAAACTTTTAATAAACGGCGTAAATAACCCTTAATTTTTAGTTTTTAATCCATTAAACTAGTTTTTTAAATTTGTTTTTTTAAACACTGTAGCTTATTATTTTTCGCAGATTTTGAGAATGATTCATTAGCACAGCTTGGAGGAGCCAGAAGAGAAATAATTGGATTTGTTACAAAAAAATTACTGATCGCTGCAATAGGTAAATATTATTATTTTGGATAGATTTTTACTAGTTTTATCTTTAATTATAATTGTTCTACTTGATGTACCATACATTTTTAATATACACATACCTCAACTAGTAATCCTTTTAGCCACAAAGATTCTTGAATAGCCGATGCTAACACCAGCTGATATTCGGTCACTGTTAAAG